GTTCAATTCCTACCAGAGGACCTTGTGCTGCATTTTTCGCAGTCGTTCCTGGTTAGGTCTTAAAATGTATATATTCTCACTTGGATTCCAAACCCTAACAATCTAATATTAATTCCACCAAGTGAAGTGCAAGAATCGAAGTCATTTATTATTATTGGCGACGCTGCAGACTGGATGTGCTTAAAGTGCATATGACATGAATTTTTTTAGTTTCTTAAATAAAAGAACTCTTTAAGCTGTAGTGTAACTTATTTTTCAGTTACTTGTGTTCATGGTTTGTTCCCGAGATATTTCAATTTGTTTGGTATGTAAATGAGTGTGAATATGTCCGCTAATTTATGACGTCACGTTGGTTGCAAGCTCAACTTACACTGATTATAAATCTATTAACTCTAAAAACTGTAGATATCAGTTCACGTTTTTCTCCGCGCTTTACCAGTGCAGTCGAAGATTTTGTTCAGTGCTGTTATTCGTTGCAATTGTCGAAAATCGAAAAGAAGAGATTCTTTACTATGGCTACCCAAGCTCCTGACGTGGAAATACGGGTTGGAAACGCTACAGCGGGTGTCAATACGAACAAGAAATACCTCGAGCGTGACAGTATGGAGACCATTTTTCGACGATTACAGGCCTCGCTAGCGAAACTTACCACAGCTTCTGAAAAGCAAACAGCTGCTTCTGAACAGCAGGCACCTGCCTTTGCAAGCTTCGGCTTCTTCCTTAATACAGTTGACCAAACTGTGGAAGATGAAGAGTGTGTAGAGCACGAATGTGACCCTTCGCTTGACATCAACAACACTTTAGACAACGTACTCGAAACGACTCGCGTTGCCGTAAACGAGAAAGTAATGTCGCAGGATTCTGTTGTACCTGACTCAGGTCCACACAGCGATCTACTAGAAAGCCTGACCCAGGCATTTATTCCAAATGTGCAGAAATCTCCATCAATTGAGAGCTCTACATCAATTCAGAATTCTCCATCAAACTATAGTCTTGAAGTATATGACTATAGTCTTGAACTATATGACTATAGTCTTGAACAATATTACTATAGTCTTGAACTATGTGACTATAGTCTTGAACTATGTGACTATAGTCTTGAACTATATTACTATAGTCTTGAACAATATTACTATAGTCTTGAACTATGTGACTATAGTCTTGAACTATGTGACTATAGTGTTGAACAATATGACTATAGTCTTGAACTATGTGACTATAGTCTTGAACTATATGACTATAGTGTTGAACTATATGACTATAGTCTTGAACAATATGACTATAGTCTTGAACTATTTGGCTACAGTCTTGAACTATATGACTATAGTGTTGAACAATATGACTATAGTCTTGAACTATGTGACTATAGTCTTGAACAATATGACTATAGTCTTGAACTATGTGACTATATACAGGGTGTATAAAAAAAAAGGTAATCGAACTTCAGCGCGCTATTGTATCTGAATTACTCTGCGTATGAACGAGATTTTTTCACATTCGGAAAGATCATGCTTTTAGCTGTTGAATGATATCTTCTTCATGCCAAATGGATAAAAAATGAGCAAATACGAATCCGATAAAAAATGTTAGTCAGAATCGCATATTTTCACCGTTGAGAGTTGGGTCTAAAACCATTGAAAATGAACTCCCTTTAGGACTTAAGTTTTAGCTAAGCTACGACACGTTCGTGATTAATTGCTTTTTCTTTTGTTATGCATTGTTTTAATTAGGCACAGAGGTGAAAATATGCGATTTTGACTAACATTTTTAATCGGCCTCGTACATGCTTATTTTTTCTCCACTTGGCATGAAAAGCATGTCATTCAATAGCTAAAAGCCAGATCTTTCCGAATATGAAAACCAATTGTTCATACGCCGAGTAATTCGCGTATAATAGCGCGCTGAAGTTCGATTACCTTTTTTTCTATACACCCGGTAGTGTGCTATGACTATATGACTATGTCTATAAAAATTGCCAATATAAAACCAACCTAAGTTTTTCGACTTCTTCGCGGTAATGTGCTCTGTCCTGCTTGAGATTTTCAATAACTTCCCGCTGTTTACGAACTTCTGTTTCGTGATCGTCACCTGGACGGAAATAAAAGAGCATCAAGCGTCCATTATCAGTGGCTAAAACATCGCAAAGGCTGCAACGTCCTACGGTGCGCATGCACAAATACGTTTCCTACCAAGAGAATGTTTTTTGGATTCCTTTGGTTCATTCTTCTGTTTGCCTTTGCCATCCTCCAGTAACTACAGATTTCAGAATAAATTTTTGGTGAAAGAGAAATAGAGAATAAATCTGTATTATTTAAAAAATCTTAAAATAAATTACTCAGTAACAAAACCATACAATAACAAATCCCCCTTACAATATTTCCTTTCACTCAATACGTACTTGTTCAAGTTCACCGATTTTCTGTAACATTTGCAGACGATTCATATCAGCATAGTCAACTGAAGGAAAAGTAATACTTCATTACATTAAACCAACTGTAAATTTATTAAGGGGATAAACCTTTAGCAACTGATTTATCAGCAATAATAGGACGAATGCAATTCCGACTATTAAGTGTTTGAGAACCTGTTTTGATTCATAAAGCACATTTAAGACCAGAGTAAATTTTTTACTTTGAATCTAAATCATCTTCAGATCAACGTACGCCTTGTAAAATGTCAATGATATAGATCCACTATGATCATTCGTGAGGCTCAACATTTAAAAGTATGATGTGTGAGGGGCAGTCGAACACAGAGAGAGACTTTATTTATAGAGGAGAGAGAGACTCTATTTATAGAGGATGACACTTGACAGTACGAATACTGATGACTCCGTGGTCCTCTGGAAACCTATGTGCCTAACCCACTCATGTCAACTTTCCCTGTGGGAGGAAATACGGAGTACCCGGAGAAAACCCACGACTTTCGGCAGAGCGTCGACTTTTACTCTTTTCACATGAGGACTGGGTTCGAGTCACATTGAGAAGTTCTCACTGAAATTTGAACCTGCGGCCTTAGAGGTGAAAGGCAAGTGCGCTAACCGCTTCGCCACCGAAACCCATGTGCTCTCTGTGTACTTGTGAAAATGGTGAAACTTATGATCCCTAAATAAACTCGAATCAACATATCAAATAAAACGTGCAAGCGCATTAAATGCAGAGGGGAAAATGCTGCTTTAAATTTAAATAATAGCTTGAGTTAAGCTAACTTGTCGAGGAAAACTTGTTGACCGTACATAAGAGAAAGTAAACTTGCCAAGGAAAACTTGTTGACCGTACATAAGGGAAAGTAAACTTGTCAAGGAAAACTTGTTGACCATACATAAGGGAAAGTAAACTTGTCAAGGGAAACTTGTTGACCATACATAAAGGAAAACAAACTTGTCAAGGAAAACTTGTTGACCATACATAAGGGAAAGTAACATTTTTAAGGAAAACTTGTTGACCGTACATAAGGGAAAGTAAACTTGTCAAGAAAAACTTGTTGACCATACATGGGAAAGTAAACTTGTCAAGGAAAACTTGTTAACCATACATAAAGGAAAGTAAACTTGTCAAGGAAAACTTGTTGACCATACATAAGGGAAAGTAAACTTGTCAAGGAAAACTTAGCTGTCTGTACGGGGTTACACTGTTTACCGTTCCGATCCTTTGAGGTGTTGCCTTTGCGTTGTCCATCTATTGCACAAAGTAAATCCTTCTTCAGACTTTGATTTTCACTTTTTAACCTTCGATTCTCATCTAAGAATAGTTGAACATTAATATGTAAAAATGTTAAAAATCCAATACATTACGAACTAATAGGTGCAGAAATTGAGCTTACCCAGATGTCAATAAATACGTGAAGATGAAGTTGAGCTTACCCAGTAGCTGTTCGAGTTGTCCATCGTCCACTCTCCCCAGTCCACCAAGGCGAGGAGTATTCATTCGGCTTGATGATCTACTTCCGTTATACCTTTGTTAAACCATAAAATAAACATTCAAGTAAAAAACGTGAGATCTACAGTAAAGTTCCGTTTTTGTGTCTGGACTATCTGAAAAATTTAAAACGGTGATTCGAGCGAAAGCCCTTTGTCAAAAGGCTATAAATATTGACTATACCATTAGAAAGATCGCAAAAAATATAGACAAGACATTTAGGCAAAAGACAAAAGCTAGTTCCAGGAGCAGATGCGAATATCGATATCGAGTGTAAATGCCGCAAATCCTGTATCCCTCACACCGCATCCGTCTCTGCTCCTAATGAAAACCTGTTTTTTTAAAAAAATCAAATTCATCTTTAACATAACTGCGGTAATTAAACTGCAGCAGTCTGACCTTGTATCGGGAATATTTCTCGTCCCAGGAACTTGGGAGTACACGCTTGATAAAACTGTTTGTAATCGTTGAGTTTCTTCATAGTACGTTTCCATTTGAATACGGAGTTCATCAAGGCTCGTTGATTTTAGATCACTTTTTAGTTTCCTGGAACAAAAATTAAAGCCATCAAGATGAAAACGAGGATGAAAAATGATGAGAGTAGGCAAGCGAGAGTTTGCATGAGAGCAATCTCGTTCCCCGAGCCTGCGATCATCGGGAAGGAACGTGAGGCTCTGGGATAATCCATTTCAGGGAGGAATCTGATTGGCCGTTGATACGGAGTGCGCAATTCGGTCTTTAGCCAGGATTCCTGGCTCCTGGCAACGGATTATCCCAGAACCTCACGTTCCTTCCCGAGGATCGCAGGCTTGGGGAACGATATTGGCGTGAGAATTTTCTCAAGTCTCGTGCCCCGGTCAAACGAGAACAGGAGTTGCATGAGAATTGGTGAGAGATTATGCCGCGCGCGTAACGAAACCTCTCATCAAAATTTGAACCAGCACACAGTTGACAAAAGTTCATGAGAGTACACGATTTTACCACACTTTACTTACAGTACTGTTCAACAATATGCCTTTATGGCAACAACGCGCAGATTAATAAGTTCCAAACATAACAAATCAAAGGAGTTCGTAGTTGTTTTTGCAAACGGGCACCGTGCGAATTTTGTCATTTGTCGTGCTTCTTGTGCCAAATCAAAAGAACGAACGAGTGCTCCAGCCCGATTTCCGGTTCTGAAACGGGCTCGATTCGCAGGCAAACAGTGCGCGTAAAGCAGGCCGGTCATTTCCCATTGTTTAACTGCCCCACACTCAAGTACGCTCAAGTAACCACAAAGACTCACAGATGTTGCCCGTGAGTCAAAAAGAGCTGCTCAAGTTATTATTGGTCTAGGTTACGAAACAAGATCAGCTGCTATATTCAAAAGGTTAGGATGGGAGCCAATAACAAATTTATTTAGGAAGCGCCAAGAACTGATGACATTTAAGTCTTTGAAAGGAATGACCCCTACTTATCTAAAACGAATGCTTGACATGTACCATAATGGAATATACGCATTAAGAAGCAACAATCGTAAATTAGTCCTTCCTAAACCAAATACAAATTTTGCGAAGAATGGCTTTTCCCACAGAGGAGCCGTGTCATGAAATAACTTACCTGACGACATTACCAATAATTATGAGTTTTTCTGTTGAACCTGTTCATCCATTTAAACACTTAATTAGAAATTACCGCAACAACTGAAGTGTCCAATTCATATAGGGCCTATTCATTGATATCTCATTATCCTACTAACCGTAATTCATTCTCTTTGTCTTTCACATTACGTTCCATCAGATGAAGTTTTTGTTTTAGACTTGAGACGACCTGAAACAAGGACACGACACAAATAATGTTAATAAAACTATTTCCAAATCAATTTTAGTGCCATTCGTATATTTATATCTTTGTTATAAACTTTATATATATGCACCACCGGTAAAAAATGCATTTCGATGTAAAGTATCCTGGCTAATATTTCAGAGCTGCCAAGTTCAGAGGATTAAAACCCTGGAGGTCATTAGAGGTGAGCCTAGTTACACAGAATGGGGGGTGGGGTGGGTGGAGAGCATGCTTACCGTGCAATTCATTGGTAAAGGCCCTGTCACACTATTGAGTATGAGAGAAAGTATGAGAAGCGTATGAAAACTAATGAAATAATTTCCATGCGCATAAAAATCCTTTGAAACGCCAGCGTTTGAGTACCGTACATCTGGCGTACCTCTAGCGTATGCCTAGAGTAGTTTCTGCCTCGCCGTATTCCAGCGTATGTCATCGTATGCGACCGTGCTTGAAAAGTATACAACCTATGCCTAACGTACCCCTAGCGTTTGTCGGCGTTTTCCAGCGTATGAGTGGTATTTTTCATACGCTGGCATGCGCTAGTACGATACGCAAGAGGATTAGTGTCACACGAGGAATTCGCGGGCTCAAACTCCTGCTGGCGGCCATTTTTCGGGACGAATAGATTAGATGATCTGGAAAGTGTTTACAATCCGTCATATATTTTTAAACCATCCATTTATAATCCTTGCTCTTTTTGTCTGATTTTTATCAGAAATGTACCAAATAAGGTATTTTTATCGCTATTTGTTGTATTTGAGTAAAATGTAAACAATAACAAAAGCCCGCAATGCATGACCCTGACACTAATCCTTTCGCACGAAAATTTGTGTTTTTTATATATTGTCTTTAGACTGCTATTTCCTACGCTAGAAAGTAACAAGAGCAGTGGCGAGATAGCCATAGCAACAGGTCGTGCTATGATTTCTAATGATTGCATTATTCATGCAAACCTTTAGAAATGTATTTTCTCTAACTTATTGAGATGCAGGTTTATTATAGCACAGGATGCTGGCCTTAAAATATCTTTCACAACAGGGCCGTCTCATGACAGTGAGTTTGGGTCGGACAAATGTATATATTATGATTCCGATGACCTTCAGTTCAGTTTGGACAATTTCACGAATGGGTCGGACAATGTCCGTGACCGACCAATATTTTAAGGCCTAGGCATGACCAGTTAGCATGGCTAGCTTCGCCACTGGAGAAGATGTAAAGATTGAAAGGCACGCGCTCTTGGAACATCTTTATTTCTTATATCCCTACCTCCGTTCCTCAAATAATTTTTGGAAGAAAAAGAATATAAAGAAAGATCATATTCCTTGCATTCAAAGATCATAGACTTTTAGGGTTTGCATTAGGGAAAGGGTTAGGATTACGATTAGGGGCAGCAGGGCCGTACACAGCGGGGGAGAGGGGCAGCTGCCCCCCCCCCCCCTTAGAGAAAACTATATTCACAATTTTTAGAATGTCATTATTAATTATTCTTTGGATATTTGGGACTTTTTCGGCATATGGGCCTTACTGCCCCGTGGTGAAAAAATCCTGCATACGGCCCTGAGGGGTAGGATTAGAGTAAGGGTTAGGGTTAGGTTTAGGATTAAGTTTAAAATACAAAAGAATACAAAATTACAAAAGTCTAAAAAAGTGACAGGTATGTCAAAGATGCAGAATTTGATCAAGAAAAATCATTTTCCTGCGGAAATACCACCATGAGACCTGGAGTTCGGGCCGAAAACCTGAAGATTCACGGGTAAAACCGTGACATTTGGCATGAAGCTCTGATACTTCAAACTTCAACAATATATATCAGCTATGACTTACTGCACTAGAGTCTGCGTTTTTATCTGTAAGAGTTCGTCTTATCTCATCAGGCTAGCAAAAAATATAAAAAATGCAGTTTTAAATTTTATTGAAGGGTTATAAAGAGTTTTGTAGATCGCAACAGCTCCTGGTTAGATACGTCTGATAAATATATAAAATTCACACTCGATTCGATTCAAGCGACGTGATATCAAACATACTTGTTTGTTTGGATTGAGGAAATCTTTGATTTGACGATCCTAAAAATGAAGGACATTTTAGTATAATAAGCAGTGGTGCCTAAATTACTTTGAATTTGTACTCGAGTAAAAGTCGAAGTAATTGACAATAAAACGACTTGAGTAAGAGTAAAAAGTCCTGGAGGCAAAACGTACTTAAGTAAAAAGTACAAAGTATCCTTAAAAAATTCAGGCCTTAAAATATCTTTTCCAGGGCCGTCTGACAAAATGTCCGGTGACGTTGAGTTTGGGTCGGACATATTATCCGATGACCGCTTCAGTTCAGTTTTGACTCGGAAATAAGTCTGAATGACACAAATGAATAAACGGTAAATGTTGTAAAGATATTAAATAATTTGTTTCTTTCATACTTATTTCCAAGCCAAAATTAACTTGCTTCCCAGAACAGCAGTATTAAAAGACGTCGACAACTTAAGACCGTTAACTTTCCACTTCACCATTTCGCGCCGCCCCGCGCTCGACTACGTTAAAACAACATTTCCAGTTCACCTTTTATACAATAGTACTCTGATTTTCCATTTAACATACAAGCCTCTGGTCCTGGGCTAGGTTACATTTTGATTTACGGCGGACAAAGCTATAGTTCGGTCGGTCACCATTACACTCGGGTCGGACAAACAATAAACCTCGGTTTCACTATGGTCGGACAGAATGTCCGGTGGTTTCCTCTCTACGTCGGACAATTTCACGAATGGGTCGGACAATGTCCGTGACCGACCAATATTTTAAGGCCTGAAAATACTTGAAGTACAAAGTAAAGTA